AATTACAAATGCAAAAGCCAGGCGGGCTTATAAACAAAATAAGCATCAATCTTGGAGGAACTACGTCTCCAAAATAAATTCCCGTACTCCTATATCCAAAGTATGGAACATGATACAAAGAATTAAAGGCAAAGGATCAAAGTCTACTGTTCACCATCTTAAGGAAGGTGATCAGTTATTAACTGATAAATCAGACATTGCCAATAAACTTGGTGAAACATTGGCAAAACATTCGTCATCGGCTAATTATGTCCCTGAATTTGTAAAACATCAGAAACAACAGGAAAAGAAAAATGTTAATTTTCATTCTGATAACGGGGAAGACTATAATGAAGTGTTTTCCTTACATGAGCTACATACTGCCCTTGTGCAAGCTCATGATACAGCGGCTGGTGCTGACAATATTCATTATCAGCTCCTGAAACATTTGCCTAAATCATGTCTAGAAACACTTTTAGATATATTTGACCAAATATGGACGTCGGGGAATTTTCCCCCTTCGTGGCATAATGTCATTGTAGTCCCTATCCCAAAGCCTGGTCGGGATCATACAGATCCCTCAAATTACCGTCCAATCTCTTTAACCAGTTGTGTCTGTAAAACCATGGAGCGAATGGTAAACAATAGATTAGTTTGGTTCTTAGAAACCAATAGTCTACTAACGAATATCCAATGTGGTTTTCGAAAAAATCGAAGTACTATTGATCATTTAGTACGATTGGAATCTTTTGTGAAAAATGCTATTGTCAACAAACAACATGCAGTGTCAATATTTTTCGATCTTGAAAAAGCTTACGACACTACCTGGAAGCATGGCATTTTAAAAGATTTACACGAGTTTGGTCTGAGAGGCCGCTTACCACATTTTATAAAACAGTTTTTAGCCGGCAGGCAATTTCAAGTCCGAGTGGGTTCAACCCTGTCTGACCATTATAATCAGGAGCAGGGTGTCCCCCAAGGAAGTATTTTGTCAGTTACTCTATTTAGTATTAAAATCAATAGTCTTTCAAAGGTTTTAAGTGATGCAGTAGTTGGTTCACTTTTTGTAGATGATTTTAATATATCTTGTCGTGGTAAAAATATGCACACTATTGAGAGACAGCTACAATTATGCCTCAATAAAATTCAGAAATGGTCACTAGAGAATGGGTTTAAGTTCTCTAAAGTCAAAACAAACTGTATCCATTTTTGCCGCAAATATAAACCGCATAAGGCTGGTTTTCCTATTAAAGTTGTTAAGGAAGCCAAGTTCTTGGTTATTATTTTTGATAATCATCTTACATTTTTACCACATATGAAATATCTGAAGACTAAATGTCTGAAGGCAATTGACTTGTTGAAAGTCGTTTCTCATTCAAAATGGGGAGGGGATCAGACAACTCTCCTTCATTTATATCGTTCTCTCATCCGTTCCAAACTCGATTATGGCGCCATCATTTATGGAGGAGCCTGTTACAGCAACTTAAAATTATTAGATTCAGTACATCATCAAGGCCTGAGGCTTTGTCTTGGTGCCTTTAGAACATCACCAGTTGACAGCTTATATGTAGAGGCGGATGAGCCATCTCTCAAACAACGTCGCATTAAACTTTCATTGCAATATGTGACTAAATTATACTCAAATCCGTCGAATCCAGCATACGATTGTGTGTTTAATCCTATATATGAACATCTATTTCAATCAAAACCAAAACTTGTTCCTCCTCTAGGGTTCAGAATTAAGCCACATATTATCGCAGCTAATATTGATCTTTCTACTATATCACCATACCGGTTACTGTCTACACCTGCTTGGCAACTAGTCAAACCGGAGGTAGACCTAACACTAACTGCCCTAAAAAAAGCTGACACAAACCAGTTGGTCTATCAACAAGAGTATGCCCAATTGCGGTCACAATATGATACCTATCGCTCTATTTTTACCGATGGCTCCAAGGATGGTGGCAAAGTTTCAAGTGCCACTTTCATTGGATCTAAAAGGGTGTCTTCAAGAATTCCAGGTAATAGTTCTATTTTTACAGCTGAGGCCAATGCTATATTTATAGCATTGGATTACATTCAAAACCAATCATCTCAACAGTTCATCATCTTTTCTGATTCCTTGTCATGCCTTCAGGCAATACATAATTGTTCTTCAGATCATCCGCTGATTCTTAATATTTTAGAATTGAATAATACCCTCGCCACTGCCCAATATGACATCGTATTTTGCTGGCTGCCCAGTCATGTTGGAATTGCTGGTAACACTATGGCTGATACTGCTGCAAAGGCAGCACTCAACAAATCAGTCACACCACTTCTTTTACCTTACAGTGATTACAAGCCAATAATTAGATGCTACATCAAAGATCTAATGCAAAAGAAGTGGAACACCCAAGTAGGTATAAACAAACTTTATGCTATAAAACCAACAATAGGGTATACCTACTTGGGTTGCCATTCGAGACATGACGAAGTTGTTTTGCAACGATGTCGTATTAGACACAGTCGATGTAAACACGAGTATCTTTTAAAAGGTGAGGATCCTCCATTTTGTGTCCCTTGTGATGAGAGAATCACAGTCAAGCATGTTTTGCTTGACTGTGTTGATTTTTCTCTCATAAGGGACAACTATTATCATTCAACGTCTTTAAAGGATCTTTTTTATAATACCAGTTCTCATTTAATACTCGGATTTTTAAAAGAAATACTATTATTTGATAAATTTTGAATTGTTTTAGAATAGTTGGATATTCTTGTCAACTGAAATGTTTGAAGGCGGTGCCACTCAGGGGGTTAAAGTAGTGTAAAATTATTTTCCCCCTGACTGTGGCACATAATTCCATCTATATTGAAGTAATTAATATCAACTAGTGTTTTAATTCCTTGATTGTGTTTTGATTTTTTAATATTGGTTAATATTTCATACAACCACTCGTGACCAAAGTGATGACATAAATCCTGCTGGGAATCATGCAGGAAGCAAAAGTCCCCATGATCCCCAGTTAGGTGGCCTAGCTTTGGTTACCAGTGGTCTATAGCCTGGTTTTACTTTCTAATAACTAATACACTGAAAACTTCTTTGTTTTAATATTGCTCAGGTAAGTTTTATGTCTACACTGTGATAATTACCTTTCTGTTTTACTGTCCTTTGTCGACAGGTATTTTTATAATAATAAACTTGTTCTCATCGCGATATGGCTGCAATATTGCCGATGCGATGTAAAATCATAACTCACTCACTCACTCACTCATCATGTACACAATAATCAAATGGAGTGATTTTGAATAATTGTTACCACTAAAATCTAACATTATAGTGATAGTAGTATTTACAAAAAATGACTTTGGGACTTGAGAATACAAACAAAAATACACGCATCAGTTGCCAGAGGGCTGTGAGATATTGGGGCTTAGAAATCCCTTGAATAGTACAAATGTAATTGTACCCCTTTTAACTGACATGTTGAGTATTGTTTGATGTTTAATGACACACTTAGTTATATTAAAAATAATTAATATTATTATATTAATGTACATACCCTCCCACATATATATTGTGAACTTGAATTATTACACTTGTATCCCCACCAATGAGTGGCATAACATCTTTAAAATACATAAGTTAGAAAATAATTTTATTTTCATTTGGCTTTTGCCATTTTGTAGAAAAACACTGTGTACAGAAGTGGCCAAGATAGCTATTTAACAGAAAATTTACTCTGTTCTTAAACATGTCACCCCCTCACGAAGGTTATGATATGATAGACAATCAAATAATACATTTGGGAGTGATATAATGGTAAGAAATCAAACATGGCAATGAGGCAATAATTACAGATAATAATAAGCAACACGACCATTTTTATAGGAATTTCATTTTTTCATTAGCTATCTGCATAAAAAGATGAAATTGTATTCCGCTTTAGTTCCGCATTACCACTTTTATACGCTGCTATATTTAGCTGCAAATGGTGGATATCGAGTCAGTAGCATTGCCATCGGCGCACTTTGCAGAACGGTGTAAAATACAAAACACAAGAAGTGCAGATGATTTTGCTCTTATTAAATGTTTGTCAATTAAACACATAGTTGCATGCCACAGATATAATTCTCTATAATGTTTATCCCAGTTCTGGTCGCTACAAACGTCTGGCTCAGCCTGAACCTGGATACTGTTGGCTTGACGACAGCTTCGGTAGTGCCCTCATACGGTCGGCTGTACCCGCAACGCAGAGAGGAAGTACATGTAGTCGAAGACTTCACGGTTTTTTAAAATTGCAAAACACCGATGAAGCGATATAGCTGGAATACTGTTAAAAGCGGCGTAAACCCAACTTACTCACTCACTCACTATTTCATTCATTCATTCATTCATTCATTCATTCATTCATTCATTCATTTGAACGATTTCTAAAACACGTCTGGTCAAATGTCACCCACAGTAAGCTTTTAATGTCATTATACATTAATAACATAGAATGTGCACCCCGCATTCTGCTGGCGTTCTTCCAAAATATGCCTCTCTCCCAAAACGTGAACACAATATCTCAGTCCAGCTAAGGAGAACGCCTCCAGGTGGAACATCATGGATCAAGCACTCAGTGTAAAATGGGTGTAAAACAGTACTATTTGTACTATTGAATTATGGAGTCATCGTCTTCAATGGAATGCCGTTACCTTTACTTAAAGTCCAACCATACAATAAAGTTCATTTAAAATGAATTTAACACTGGAAACAGCACTGCTCATCGATAATGTAAGAAAATGTAGGGGTGTGGTAGTCATGTTTGAAACGTGATCCTGGTTTGTCTAGCCGACAACTTTTTAAAGTGGCCTGTGAGGAAAACGGATTATGTATGCCTGTTAATGTTGGGTATTAGTAGTTTACCTAATTAGCTATAGATAAATGAACGGGTACTGCCACCACTCTAAAGTCCTTTTGACAGATTACAGATGTTAAAATCACACAGGTAAGAAATGCGACTTAGTGTGAAAACAGCTATATAAATCTTTCTTACCCCGAGTCTTCCCCGGAATCTTGTAGTTTTGACATTGTACGAGAGCTCGTCTCGCTACGTCCAGTTTCGTCGTCCGCCATTGCATGAAATACCTATTCGATCTGTCTTCCTTTTTCTTTGTCCGCTATAGCTTGAAATACCCAGTAGGTGGTTCCCCTATTCCGTTTATCTTTATATCTGCGCATGTCTAACCTAGGTAGATGTGTTCAGTCATGCAGCATGATAACAATAACACCAAGGCAGCACATACCATTTATACACAGTTTGTGTTACTTGATCACTTCACAACACGACCCCATACATTACGACATGCTACGTCTCTGAGTCAAATAAATCAAAACGTTCGCAACAAGCGTTCAGTCTCACCCGGTAGTTTGCTAGGTTATAAGCAAGTGTTCTTACCAGCTTATATCACTATTTATAAATGTACCCAGAAAGAATTTAACAAAACGAAACGTGTACATAGATAAGCAAATGTTAGAATGAGCTGAAATCTAAGCGAACACCTGCAGGGAGTGCACTGAATACACAGGACCATGTAACTTATAATGATAAGAAATAAACTTACAGACGTGCCACACTTAGGGAAAGATGAGTCACTTTCACAAGGTAACACTAACAATGTAAATATTTCCCCGACGACATGGACAATACAGATTTGACACAATCTTGGATAAATGATATGATCCAGTCTTTACTATGTGGAGACTTCGGCCTCGTCTACGAGTTTCTTGCGAATTTGTTTATTATTGATGTTATTAGTTACATGGTCCTGTGACTTATCATACACAGACGCGTCATTGCAATGTCCGCTGATCTATATATAGAATCCATAGCTAAGCGTTCTCATTTACAGTGGAGAATACGTGGTAGTCTCTAAACGAATGACGGCTGTCACCTTAGCGCGTGGAGCTTCGAGAAGTGGCATGAGAACCAACAGCCTTGTGCTCATTGTTGTGGTTCTACTACTTCGTGTAGTTCTCCAATGCCTGTGTAGGTATCTATGTATTGTGTCGTAATACCTGTCATCACGGGGCCGAGACGTCTAGGCTTGCCACATATCTATCCATATATATAGGTATAGTCTCTTTAAAAAATCAAAGCAAACTTTCTAACCAGCCTTCCCTCTTCTCTGTATTTACATTCGCCTCAATTCTGCAAGTTATCTGTGACCGAATATAGTTTTCTACATAATAAACCACAGTAAGATACTGTTCAATCGATACATGATGGGTTCTAAAAAAGTCCCACTAAATTCGACTTCTTTTGAAAAACAACAGATTTGTTCACAAGTAATTGTCTTTCATAATATTTGTACGTTTCGGGGCATCAAAATTCACGTGTTGTTGAAAGTCAAATTAAATAAACGCCGTTACTCGGATTTATTTCCCATTAAACATACACTGGTTGCCAATACTGTTGAACATGCAAAGTGCTACTTAAATGATAATTACAATTTCGACGAAACACAATAGCACAGGAATTAGGCAAACACATCAAGGACATAATCCGGTAACCCACACACATGATCATCAGATCTGAATGGTCTAAGGGAGGTCACTCTGCGAAGTATCTTATGGCCCATCAGACATCAAGACATACCGTGTCCACTCATAGGTAGAGATGAGTCACTTGGACAAGGTAACACTGAGTGTGTGAGTTGGGTTTAACGCCGCTTTTAACAGTATTCCAGTTATATCGCGGCGTGTCAGCTAAATGTGGGGGAAAGCCCGAAGTGATGCAGGTGTCAGACACGGGCACGGGTATGGTGCTGACAAACCTAGAAACATAATCGGGGCGAACCGAGATTCGAACCAACAATCATAGGTTTCTGGCATGCCCAAGGGACGCAACTCCGCACAGCGAATCGCGACGCCTTAGACAACTGGGCCATCCGTGCATCCAGGTAACACTGACAATGTAAACATTTTTCCGACTTGGACAATATAGATTTGACACAATCTTGGATAAACGATGTTTTAATCACCTGCTTTTAATATGTAGAGACTTGTAATATGTGTTGTGTGATGAGTTGCATCAGTACGTTGTATACTCTGTTATGCCTATGGAATCAACATGGACAAGTATTGTTTATGAAAGAGTGAAAAGACAAAGCTTCTTGTCATTACAGGAATGTCCGTCAGAGAAGATTACAGCAGATGTTTAACTGTTAGATCAAACGATGTTAACATTATCTGGCAACTCTCCTTATGGTATCCTCATAAACACATAACTCATAACTGCTACAGCTGGTCGGGAAAGTTCTAGCGAAAATTGTCCGTATTTACTCATTATTCACGGAGAGATTTTGAAAGATCTGTTCACTATTATTAGCGAGGGATAAATCAATCAATCGTTTTTATTGAAATGATATTTTTGTATATTCTCTGTCGCACACGTTTTCCCTGTATTATGTTATTATATCTCTATTATATATCGAACCCTGTACAAATACTTCTCTGGAAATGAAACTATCGATTTGATGGCGGTTTATACTTACAGCAAGAGACCCGTGAAGATCCGGGGTAGAATAGATCTTCAGCAACCCATGCTTGCCGTAAATGACGACTATGTTTGTCGTAAGAGGCGACTAACGGGATCGGATGGTCAGGCTCGCTGATTTGGTTGATGCATGTCATCGATCGTAATTGCATGGATCGATGCTCATGATATTAATCACTTTTGACAGGTCTAAATGAGTTAAGTTTCAAAAAACGAGTCAACATACGCCTCACAAGCGTGCATAGTGCATAGTTGATCATTGATATTTAACATAACTACAAATTATAGATCATTGTATATAATTTGTTTCAATATTATCAACGGATTTCGCAATACCAGAACGAAACAGACAAAATTATAGACAATATTTTACCTGCAATTGAGTTTTTTTCAGAAACGGGGAATATAACCCATTGTCTGTTTAAGTACCGATTAACGGGAGAGCTTGATAATTCCCTGTGTTGATAATACATCTTTCATATCATATTCCCACAAACCATGTTGTTTTAGGTGATAACAATGTATATCCATGCTCATAGTTATTGCCACCGCCCCCCCCCCCCTCCATGCTCATAGTTATTGCCACGCCCCCCCCCCCCCCCCCCCCCAACACACACACGCACCTGATATGTGCGTTCGTTTAAGTATTAAGGTGATAATAACATATGTGACAGTTTCTTATTGGTACTTTTTTTAAAGACAACTGTTTCTACCTTCTCAAGAGCATATACAACTATTGTAGCCATTGTAAACTTTATAAGTTCTTGTCAAGAGACATTGCCCGAAAACGCATTGTTTAATGTGTCATGTTTAAACAGATTTAGAAAGATTTGTGTTGATGTCGTGTCCCACATATACCAGGCAACTAGACGTCGATATGCGTGTTGTATATGACAACGCTATGTTTACAAGTGACTGACAGTAGGGCTTTCCAACTGAAGTTATTTTTAGCGCCAACGCAGAAAACCGTAATGAGGACATGTTGCTATGATCTATACATTAACCTGTTTCGTAAATGCATATGAATATTCCGATTATGCTTGCTGTATGTAATTAAACTATCATTGCTCTATAACATTTAGAAGATCATATCCATTAAACATGTTTGGAGATGGATAACACTTAAGTGTAAGACAGTATTTATGTGAATATAGTCATAGTGCTTTATACTAAATTATAACAGTATTCCAGTTATATTACGAGGTGTCAGCTCAATGTGCGAGGAAAGCTCCAAGTGATGCAGATTTCAGACGTTTACCACGCGAGACGTGTATTGTGCTCACAAACATAGAAACGTAATCAGGATGAACCGGGATTCGAACCCCCGATGATAGGTTTCTGGCGTGACCAAATCTGTACATCCGGTGTCCCAGGAGACTTGGCCACCCCTGCCCCCAACCATGGTAGGAAGTTCTATATTAAGTCTAGGACATGTTAAATGCTGAAAGAGTACTATTTTCTCGGAGCCCTCTGCTAAGCAGTCTCGATCCACAGCCCCGTTCGACTACGCCAAATGTTATTCCCGGATGCGTTATCTTTAGCTTCGTAGCTTTTGCTATCACATCTGCTATCATTTTGAACTATCACTTCTGCAGCCCAAACCAAAAAATAAACTAATAAAATGATATACAATGATAAAATCAACAGTTTTACAGTATATCTTTATATCCTAATGAACTAAAGTGTTTGATAGGCATTACTTAGAAGTTGACGGATGACAAGACAGACACAGTTTTATGGATAACAACTTCTTTAATACTATAAAAGGCGACGTTTTGGTATATATCCTTATACCGTTGTCAAGTCATCTATTAAAGAAGTTGTTATCCATACAATTGTGTCTACCTTGTCATCCTAATGAACTCTTTGGAAAATGGTTAAATATCAGCGCCAAACTTTTCAAGTATATTATGTGCGAAAGGTCACATTAAGAAAGTACCTCGCATAACCTCTCACAATTAGCTGGCGAGTTATATCTTTATGTGCTGACCATCTACGTGGTCTAGAGGGAGAGCGTCCGCCCGGAGAGCAGAAGGGCCGGGGTTCGATCCCCGGCCGCGTCATACCAAAGGACATTAAAAGATTGTACTTGTTGTTACCCTGTCTGGCGCTCGGCATTAAGGGGCTAAAACAATGACCGGTCGGCTCGGAGTCAGTATACTGTGTCTGAGTGGAGTATTTATGTTAAACTGCGGCATGGTATCTCAGTGAGCTAGCACTATGAATCGGCATCAGTCCGGACTAGTACAAGCAGCCACACACACACACACACACACACACACACACACATGCACGTCGCTACATAAGTGCAAATGTCTTGGACGCGGAGTTAAACCGCATTTCACCTCACCTCACCTCTTTATGTGCTTTCTAATAGAATATGAAAGGCAAGAAGATATTAAGTCTGATTTTCATTATACATACGCTAATTGGTTGAACAGTAATGCTATTCTTAAAGTGAGTGAGTGAAGTTGCTTTAATATCATAGCGTGGCAGCT